TACATCTGGCCAGTGTGCCAGCACCATGGGAAACTCTGCTGGTGGCACCATCTGACCTCTGTTACCTACCACCGCCATCTCTAAGGGTTTCCACATCCATTCATTGCTACAGACTTAATGGCTTGATATTGGATCAAACAACCAACCAACTAATACTGAATCACATTATTAGATGCTGGGAAAGAAAGGAGGGTGTTCCTGTCCTTTAAGGAAAATAAAACATGAGCCTTCCCTCTAAGGTGCTTGTAGTCTTTTGGGCATGGGGTGGGGCAGCAGCATGCAAAAACAACTCAGACAACAAGCACAGTGCGATTTCCTTCTGAAATATATGTGGCTCTTCAGGGAAATTGTGAGGATTTGGAGAGGAGCACGCTGCCAAGTCTACACTCCACAATTTCACAACCCAGTGGGTCCCACTTCCAACATTCCTGTCATTCCTCACTCATTCAAGAAATACTTCCCATGCTGACTGTATTCCAGGCACTATGTTAGGCACTAAGACTACAACTACAAATGAAGCAGACAAGGTAGAGTCTCTTGCGGAGATTATAGTCCAGTAGGCCAGCCAAATGCATTCACAGTGCAACCAGGAAACCCTCCACCCATCTGCCCACTCATCTACATGTCAACTCGCTCACCCACTCAAGAAATGTTTAAAGAGCATCCACCAGCCCAACACTGTGCCAGGCACTGGGCCCAGCATGGGAAACATGCAGATGAGGGTCTAATCTTCATGGAACGCAGCACCCAGCAGAGTCATGCTCAGGGGTCATGGAGTGATCTGAACAGGAGAGTCTGGGGGATCAGCAGAGGGCGAAGCCCTGGTGGGCGCCAATCAGAGAGGGCCTTGCTGATGAGGCAGGGCTCAAGCAGATCCCTGAAGTCAGGTTGGCCCCTGCTCAGACGAGGCAGGGGTGGATCCCTGGCCCCTCACCCTGCACCCCATCCGAAAAGCCTCCAGAGCTCAGCAAGATGAACAAAGACCTCCCTAGCAGTGTAGCTGTGGCCACACGACCTTATAATCACGAGGCTCTCCTTCCTGACATCAGCTGTGCTATTCTCTCTCTGCCTCCTGGAACAGGCAGCCTTCTCTACACAAAGCAGAGTATGTTCCCCGTGACAAGACCTGGCGACAAACCTGAACACCAACCCCTGCATCAAATCCTGGTCTCCTCCTCCTGTCCTTGCTCACTGCCATCCCAGGATCACAGCTGGGACTTCCTGGGGATAGGCTGGATTCAGAGTGAAAAGGGAAGACAAGACGTGGTGAAAGCAAGCACCGGTGCCTGGGAAGGTGTCCCTACCTGCCCAGGTTCTGGGAGCACTTCCCTACCAGCGTTGCTCCTGTCAGTGATAGGGGAAGAGGACTGAGAGTTTAGGAAGTCCCCTGAAGGGAGCTTTCATTGGCTGTGCCCATATCCTGCTGTGGTGCCAGGCGCAGTTTGATTAGCTCATAACACCATCACAGGGCACCTGCCCTGTGCCAGGCACTGTGTGGGAGACAGGGGGCCAAGCAAGAGAAGGAGGACACAGTTCCTGCCTTGGAGGGGCTCACCCTCCACCCTTCTGGCAGACATAGACATGCATGCACACAGGGAAGCAGGCTCGTGTGCTAATGGGGAGTGTGCAGACACACGCAGAGAACATTCTGACACAGTGGTTGGGTGAAACATTTGAGCGCTGGGGATGGAGATGAGAGACATTCAGGTGGTAAAATATCCTATTCTTGTGCCTGGTCCGATTGGGGAGGGATGGATGTGCAGGAACAGGAACTCCCCGGGATCTCTTTCCTGTGTCTGCCCCTCATTCACTACTTCAGTCTCCCTCTCTGGTTTGTCTTCCCATCTGTGCAGGCCGCTGGGATCCACCCATATGTCCCATTGTGACAGTTGAGGCACCAGGTGTCTGTGCCCTTGATGTACCTCCACGGATCTCGCACCTTCTGTGTGCCGGGCAGTGCTGAGCATGTTTTATACCTTTTAGTACCGACCTCACAACCACCCCGCTGGGAGGGCATCATTGTCCCCATTTGAAATATGAGGACACTGTGACTCTGAGAAAAGTGTGTGTCTTCTGGGGAAGGGGACCCTGTGCAGAGATCAGGAGACCCCTGTAACCCCACTCTTTTCTTCCCTGGAATTAGCTGGAACAGACGTGCGCCTGCGCGTTCTCTACGGGCGGGACAGCGGCTCCGGGCACCGCAGGCCTCCCCGATGCGGGGTAGGGTGACGAGGTTAAGCGCCCCTGGGAAGTGGGTGGCTGGACGCCAAGAGGGGTTCAGAAAAGTAAGACCACGTGAAAGAAGCCCTGGACATCTTCTAGCCCACTCCTGGCCCGCGTGAGCTGAGGCGGAAAGGCTCCGGGCAGAGAGTGGCCTAAGGTCTACCGGAAGGCCAGACCGAGAGCAGGGCGCACGCCGCAGCACGGGGTCTCTCTGCTTCCACTCGGTCCCTGACCCCAAGACCCAACCTACGGTCTGCGGGAGCGTCCCGCCCCTTCCCTCCGCCCTGCACTACCCCCCATCACCACTCCAATACGGCGACAGTTAAGGAGCGGGCGAGGCTCCCTCTTCGTCTAGGTAATTATGTTCTCATTAGGAGATGATGGCCGGCGTTAGCGCTCCGGCGTCCTCGCAAGGCGCGCCCGCAGCGCCGCTCACGGTGGGGGAGCGGGCGGGCTGGGTGACAGCGCAGCACCCTCGCCACCCGCGCTGCCTCTCAGACAGCAGAGGCGACAGTGAACACCTCGGGCCCACCGCCTGCCCGGCTCCGCGGAGCGTTGGGCGCGGCGTGCAGAACCCGGGCACAGAAGCCAGGTCTGGGCGGTCGGGTCCTAGAAGCCTCTCCGAGTTCCCCAGGTCCGGCTGGGTGCTGGGCGCCGCGCAGAGTAAGGCACAGCTCTGTCCTCGGAGAACTCGGGGGGTTGGGGGAAGAGGAGACAGGTGATACGAGAGGCCACATTTCAAAGAGGGACACCAGGGAAGGGGTGACGCCTCTGCCTATATGGGATGTGGAAGGTTCCCTGGAGGGGTGACGTTCACTGTTGAGGCAGGAGAGGAGCACGTTACTAAGGCGACCTGGACTGGAGAGAAGTCTTTCCGAGGAGGGTGAGGCTGAATGAGGGGTTCCACCCTGCGGGCTCTGATCTGAAGAAGTTGTTTTACATGAAAGTAGGAGGCGGGCCCAGATCCCTAAGGGCATTAAAGGATGCCACTGTGGGGCATGGGGTTTAAAGTCGCTCCCCTCCCTAGCCTCTGGTTGGGGAGGAGAGGTAGTCCCTACTGAGCGCCCTTTCTTCCCCATCCCTCTCTGTCCTCAACACACCAGTTGGAGGCTCTGGGTCCTTGCCAGCTGAAGCCCGGATTTTAGAAGATTGACTCACCTGACTCGTGCCTGGTTCCAGCGAGGCCTCTAACCTCCGTGTCCATGGGGAGAGCCCTCCATAGTGCTGGTGGGCTAGTAGGAGGCGCGGGCCTGGGGAGGAAGGCAGTTGAGGGACATAGGACCCCACGTTTCCCCGGAGCCCTCTGGGGAGGGGCGCTAGGTCAGCACTTCTAAGTGTTGGCTGGTGGGCTGCCACTGCCTGTGGAATCCTCAGAGTGAGAGACAAGCACAGCCCAGATGCCCCTTTCCCAGCCAGAGCCCAACAAGGCCTGGTTGGAGAATGAGGAAGGGGCGTTGAGCCCTGGGAAAGCTCTGCCTGTGTTGTGTGGACAGGATGCCTTCCCAAAGGCGGCAGCCTTTCAGCAGAGCTTCATTGTGTCCTCCCCAAAACAGGACTTTGAAAGTGGAGGAGGAAAAGTTACTTCGGCTTCAAGCAAAGGAGCAGCAGGTGTGCAGACACAAAGACAGTGAGGGAGACAGGTTCATCAAAGGGCAAGGGAAGGGGCGGCAGGTGGAGGAAGAAGGGAGTGGAGTAGATTGAGAGGGGTGTCCAGTACCAGGTTCAGGTGAGGCAGGGACCTTTTCCCAGCAAGGCGCCAGCTAGATCCAGAGCAGAATCAAGAGAGAACCTCCCCTCCTTCCCACTTGGAGACAACTTGTTCTAGCTGTGTTCACTTTCTAGGCCCCAGGGCTGGAGTGCCCTCCTAAACCAGTTCCTGGGAGCAAAGGCTTCCCCTGGCCTCCACTCCAGCCTCAGGCCTAACATGCAGGAGCCCCCACCCAGCCCTGGGGGCAGCCAAGGCTGCAGCAGGATCACTAACTAAGGCCCCTGGTCCAAGTGTTTGGATCCACAGCAAGAGGCACTGTGGGAGATGTTTGGATTTCTCCCTGCCTTTAGATAGATAGACTGAGACCCTGACAGCGGACTTGAGCCAGGATACAGCCTGGTGGCTCGCAGTGCAGGCAGCCACAGAGACAGAACCCTGGTGGTTCCTGCCCTCAAGAAGAGGCTGGCCACCCAGCCCTGGGACCTGGAGCCTCCTCTACAGGCAGAACAACAGGGCGCAGGGCTGCTCTGTTGGGTCGAAGTTGTCTCGCTGCAAAAGGTTCCAGCTGTTTCCAGCCTCACCCCAAGACTGCAGAAAGCAGTGTCTGCTTGCAAGAGGAATGATTTTTCCTTTCAAGTTCCTATAGCGCCCCAATTCCTCCTCATCCCCACCTCCCTGGGGACTGACTAGGGAGGAACAGAAAAGCTCCAGGGTAAACCTCTCACCCCAAGTCCCTGGCTGCAGCCGCGGGTTCGGGGCCACCGATGTCGGGGGTGCCCGCTCGAGCTGCTCGGCGGCCCGGGATTGTGTGCCGACGGGCGGGGGTTTCCACCGAGGCCCGGTGCCCGTGAATCTCTGACTCGGACAAGCCTCGGGAATAAATTCGAGAAACGTTGCTTACTGTGCTATTATTAACCCCCCCTGCCCCCGAGGTAAATTCATCCCAGAATCTCGAGCCAGGAAAAAGCCTCTAAAAGGTACTAAACGACAGGGACCCGTCCCAGCCGCCCTCTCGCACTCCGGCTCCCGATGTCCCCGCTGCCGAAGCCACCGGGTCAGCCTTCCGGACTTAAAACGAAGTCGTTTATTTCAATTTTGCTTTCACATTATGTTCCGATACAATCAAAACTCCTGGACGAACCTCTTGAATGAAAGTCCTGCGAATGAGCACAGTCCCAGACCCCGGGCGCCGAGTGACGCAGCGGGTGGACTCCGGATTCAGAGGTGGTGGTATAAAACATACGCTGCTTCGGGAACTGCGGAGCGGACGAGGGTTGGGGACATCCAGAGACGGGAGACAGGGTAGACTGCCTCTCTGGGCAGGCTGCTTCGGGTCCTCGAATTGGGATTATGCCAGACGCATTTGGAATGCAAAAACTCAACTTTGCTCCCAGGCCGGCGGCCGCGCCTGTCCTAGTAAGACTTCGGCCAAATTTCTTAGTTTGCGCCAAAGCAGTGAGCACAGGCAAATGCGGGGCCTGCCCGAGGCCTGGCGCTGGAAGGCGCGCAGGAACGGCTTTGCGAGGGAGCCGTTGCGCCCAGGCCTTTCTCGGTCTCCAGGTCGGTTATCCCAAGACTCCTGCCCCTGAACTCGCCCTGTGGCGACCCCGGCCCCCAGCCTTGCAGCTGGGAGAGATGCGGAGTTTAGAAAGCTGTTTCAGAAAAATAAAAGTCCCACTTCGACTTTATTGGATTAAAGCAAAATTAAATCTTGGCTATTCACACGTATGTTACAGAGGACGAGGAAGCGTCCGGAAGAACCTCCTTGGTGTTTAGTGGAGCCACAGAGCACGAGGGCATTGACAAGCGTCAGAACATCAAGCAGCCTTAGATTTCACGATCACTCCGAATAGGACATAGAAATATGGAAAGACAGCCAGCTTCCACTGGGAAGAGTTCTTCGTATACAAATGATATATAGTTGGATAAAAAAACAAAACAAAAAACAGTCACCACTGAGTCCTTTTTCTCCTAACCAGCAGCCAAGGATACAAAGTATCTTCAGCTAGTTAACTTAGGCTTGTTTTAAGAAGAGCAATACTTGCCAAATTAAAACTGCCTCCCCCATCCAAAAAAAAAAAAAATTACCCCCTCTCCAAACTTAAAAAAAAAAAAGAAAGAAAAGAGGGAGGTGATATTAGATTTCAGTAGGCAGAAGGATTCAGAAGGGGAATACAAAGAAAAATTTCACATTACATAGTGAAATACAAAGTTTCTTTTAAATAAATTTTGGAGACCATGGGTACTGGGGTAAGAAACAGTGACAAGGCAGTCTCCTTTTCGATTACTGCAACTGGAATAGGGGAGGCGAGTGTATTTTTTGGAAGTGGAAGTGCGCAGAGCTAAGCAGAATTTATTTCTCCTAATAAGGAAAGGGACAAAGGTGTCCCACCGCCAGCACGCACCTTTTCACCCAGATAAAGCTAGGGAACATATAGGAAGTTCAAGTCGTGTTGCCTTCTCGCCCTCTGAATTTTGGCCTCTCTCTCACTCCCTTCCTGCCTTCGCCCTCTCCCTGCCTCCACCCCAGCCAGGAGCCAGTCAGAGGGGAAACACGAGGAATCCAGAGAAGGTCGAGTACTTCCAGCCCCCCATCAAGTTCCCCCGCTCCAGCTTGAGGTATGCTCGGTCGCCTTTCTCCATTTGGATGAGGACTCCGTTGCTGGCGGCCTCCCGGGTCACGTCCTGGTCACCAGCGAAAGCTGAAATCACCGGCCACCCGTTTAACATGAGGCTCACCTGGGAAAAAGAAAAGCGCGCTTCAGAGGCGCAATCCAGGCGGGCGCCGAGGCCGCGGTGAGGGACCCTTGGCGCTTGGCGGGCAGCCGCAGAGGCCTGGAAGCAGGAGGTGGGCGGGGTTGGAGGAAGAAGGGCTTTGCACTTTCCTGCTGAGGGCACCATCAGGGCGGAAGGCCCCATATCTGAGCGAAAGGAGAGGTCTGTCGCCCAAACGGGAGCTGCCCTCCCGGTTTCTCAAATGAGCGTGAGCCAAGCAAAGCTCGGTTGTGCTTCGCTATCCCGTTTAATAAACCCGCAGGCGGTTCTAGCGCCCCGGGACCTGTCAATTCTCTCCCGCTCCCCCCAGCCTCAAAGAAAACCTCAGGCAACTCTACTCCTGGCGCCCCCGGGAAAACAAAAACAGATGAACACAATTGCTCTCCGGCCCCTCCCGGTCCCGGCTGCCGAGACATAGCGGAGAAGCCGAGCCAGGCTTCCGGCTAGCTTGGAAATCTCGCTCGGAGCTGCACTCTGCGCTTCGCCCGCACACCACGGGCTCGGTTCCCGCCCCAGACCCAGCCGCATCGCCACCGTCAGCCTAGGGCCAGGCGCCCTCTCCCCCGCCGCACGTTCCGCCTCTTGGCGCCCAAGGGAAACCTGGAGGTCTTTGGGGACTGAAGAGCCTGCGCGTGCTGGGACGTGGCCGGAGCCGGCGGAGACGGCACTACGTCCCCTGCCTTCTCTCTCCACCCCTCATCCACCGGGGCTAAGAACAGATAATTCAAAAACCCTGAGCCGGTCCCCAGAGGGACGCCCCGGGGCGGGGCGGGGCGGGAGAGGACGGGAAACAGGCGCCCTGTCCGTGGTGCTGAATACGAGCGCGCAAGCCGCCTCACGGCCTTCCGAGCTGGGGCAAGGGTCGGAGTACCGTCCGGGTGCTGAAGGCGAGGGAAGCGGCAGCTGTGTGTGGCGCTAAGAGCAACCGTTACAAGAAGTCCCTGGAGTCCCGTCGGAAAGCTGGGGAACCCTTTGGAGGGTCCCAGAAGTCAAAGGCAAGAAACTGTCTCTGGGGATGGGGCGGGGTCCCAAGAGTCAGCGACAGTGAGAGCGAGGGACGGTCCAAGCCACAGACCTGTACGACCCCGCTATCCGTCCCTCCAAGCAGCCCTGGTACACGCCTTTGCCACTTTTGTCCCCCACCCCCTGAAAGCCCGGGCGACCGTGGCTGGTGACCCCCTACGGGGCCGGGGCCTGGCCCGAGGCGGTCGCTGACCTGGATGGTCTGTCTGTTGTAGACTTTTACCACGTGGAAGTTAAAACTGTAGATCCCTTTGCGCGGGGCGATGAAAGTGCTGCGTTCTGAATCAAAGTTGTTCCCGATGTTCACTAGCACCTACAATGAGACGGGGACGAAGGGGAGTGGGCGGGAGTCAGGCTCCGGCTGCGTTCCCGCGCCTCCGCAGAGCCCCGGCGAGCGCGGGCACCGGTCTTCGGTGACCAACCTCCCGCCCCCTGCACGCCGCGCGAGGAAGGGCGCTCACCTGGTCGAAGTAGATGATCATGGTGCGATTGCTCATCTCGGACGGCTCGTGGTTGGTGCTCCTGATGGCGGAGAAAGCTACCTTGGCGCTGCCGGAGCGCACCGAGATGCCCAGGGCCGTGCCCGTGGGGTCGGACGTGGGGTTGGAGTCGCACACCACCAGGCACTTGCCCTCCAGCACGATGGGCTCCGTCTCGTTCTGCCCGCGGGCCGGGCCCGCCAGCCACGCAGCCCCCAGCAGCAGCAGCTCCACGACGCCCAGCATCGCGCCGCCGG